GTGTGTGTGTGTGTGTGTGTGTGTGTGTGTGTGCTTGTCTTTATACGCATGAAAGCTATCAAGTTTAGGTAAGGGTAAGAGTTAGGGTTAGGCATTTAGCTGTGATAGTTAGGGTTAGGGTAAGAGCTAGTGAATGCATTATGTCAATGAGTGTCCTCACAACTGTAGAGAGACAAGTGTGTCTCTGTGGTTAGGTCAAGGGTTGGGTTAGTCATTAATGGATCATGGTTAACATCAGGAATAAGGATATGGCTAGGCTATCTACAATGATCAACACAAAGTTCTAATAATAGCTGCGCAAACTGAGAAGTAGTGGTTTGCAACTGTCGCAGTAAGAACCAGAATGGAACTCATTAGCAAGCATACCTCACCAGCAGGCCCAACAGGCTCCGAAACCATTTAAACTAGAGCTGGATTTTTATTAAATCTGCACCAAGTTGCACACACTCATTATATTTCATGTTTCATTCCCCTAAACGTGTCAGATTCTTTTCATCAAGGTCAAGATTTCAAAAAACACCCTATCTTACAATGTCAAAGAAAGTCTAAAAGAATTCCTGTATCCTCACCAAAATCGTATGTGTTCTTCCCTGACCGACACCACATCCTTCCACCAAATTTCGTGGTAATCCGTCTAGTATTCTTGCGTAATCCTGCTGACTGAGAAAACAAAACCCAGACCCAAACACAGACCGACCAGTTATATTTGGAGTCAAGTTTCTCTTTTTAAATGAGAGATTTGTCATTGGATTTACTGGTACAAGTGTGTATGAATTCAATGCAGGTAAGGACGTGTGGCAAATAATCCTGTGAAAGTAGTTGCATTATTTATTCAATTATCATTTTCTTCAAAAGTTTTGTATTGTTATTATAGACATCTATGAATAAGGAAGACAGTGAATTAATATGACATGACATGTTTTTTTCCCTGGTTAATCCAGTTAAATAATAACAGGCTAATAACAGATTTTCAGTAATAACGACAAATTTGGGTCCTGATAAAAGTTGGTATTCACTCAGATTAATCATTCGGACATGATTTTAAAAGAGCAAAAACAGGGACAAGCAGTGGACTCAGAGATTGATTCGACTGATCTCTCTTTCATTTAGTTCACAACCTCTTGAATTAAACACAAGACAAGAGAGGGGGGGGCACTAGAGGGGAAGAAAAGGGGGGGAAAGAAGGAATGGAGGAAGTAATGGAGGAAGAGAGACAGTGTGTGTGTGCGTGTGTGTGTCTGTGGGAGTCGGGGGAGGGCACTGTGGGGTACGAGGCAGCACCCTGCAGTCCCAAGTAATGGCAGAATAGAACTTAATAGGGTAGAAAAAGGCTGGAGGCTGTTAACTCAGAAACGGTCATTTTGAATTCCCCATTCTCTCTCTCTCTCTCCGTTGCTCCCCCTCTCCCTCATCCCTTCTTCCATACATGTTCTATATCTTTAACCTGGTTTCCCATCCCTGTTTTCCAGTGTCAATTACTGATCCATCTCCCTGCATCCTTCACCTGTCTCCCACCGCCGTTTCCCTCTCCTTTCTCCTGCTCCTCTCCTTCTATCTCGCAACCTTACCTCCTCCCATCCATCCCTCCTTCCTTGCCTCATCTCTCCCTTCCCTTGCCTCCCACCTCCCCCTCCTCCCTCTGTGTCTCCTTGGAGGAGGTGTAATGATAGCTATTTGAGTGTCATCAGAGGACCGCTGTAATGGCTTCTAAAGCACCATCCCACGGTTGCCACGGTGAACCTGGCACAGCCACCATCCCAGAATAAGGGGTGGGGGTGAAAAAAAAGGAGAGGAGAAGAAAAAAAACCTAACAAAACATCTGGTTGGCTATCGACAGGCGTCACTGTGCCGACGGCAGCATGAATGCTGGCACATCAGCAGACTATGACGTGGCCCCCGGGGGCCACAGAGAGCGAGCTAATGATGCGTGGGATAGGATACATATGAGGAGGAAGTACAGTAATAGTGATAATAGTGATACTAATGAAAATAATAACACTGATAACAATAACAGTACATTACTTTTTTGATTTGTGAGCAGTGTGTCTGTCGGCACCTCCTCGCCCCCTCATCTCTCCCACTCTCTCCAATGTGTTTTCTGTGTGTGTGTGTATTTGTGTGTGTAAGTATGCACACATGTTCATGTGAAAATCTGTGGTTGAATTTAAGCAAGAGAGAGCGATAAGGGATGTTTGCAAACTTTCCAATGCTTGCTGCTCATTTAAAGGTAAGGAACGTAAAGAAATCTGAATCGCACAAACACACACACACGTGCATGTTGCAGCACCTCTAACCATCAGTAGATCAGATGTTTTGTTCGAGTAGAGAAGCAGAGTGGCTGTTTATAGAGAAGTGATTTCCTCCACATCATTAGGCATGTGTACGAGGACACTAGAGGGGATTTTAAAATTGCTTTTGTCTTGAAAGATTTGATGAAGTGGGTGTGACACTGCAAACTTCTTGGTGCCATTCAGTTGTCCTTTGAGTTTGAATGGCTGCTGTCAAGTCAGTCGACTGGAGCATGTTGACAGACACTGAAATCACCAAGATGAGTTTGCAGGTTTCCTTCCAGACTGTCGGCACCAGAGCTGGACCTTGTGTCTGCAGCTCAGGGACACCCTCTGTAGGTTGAGCCGTAGAGTTCTTTGTAGTACACGAGGATAAAGTTCGTTAAAATGTTGTAAGTTTTAATGACATGTTTTGAGTCTTTTTTTTAGTCTCCCAGTCAATAAAAATAACAGTAATCATCTTATTGTGACTTGTAATTTCCTCTAATAACTATGGCTATGTTTGCCCTGAGAGTTAGCTGAGACGGGTAAAGTGGATATGACGCAATTAAAAGGCGACCAAAAATAAATGGCCCGTTACCTTGAGTAAAATTTGGGATTTCTCTGGGTGTGAACATTGTTGGAAATATTTTGTATAACGTCAGTACACAAGCCAATAAAATATATAACACAGGTCTAGTTGTTTTTAAACAGTTTAATGTCGGAATTTTTACATATTACATCTTTAAAATCTCTTTATAAAGCTGTTGTTATCAGAGGAGTTTCAAACTAGAAATAGAGGCTGATTTGAGGCCAATTAAAGTCATGTGGGAGGTCTGTTTTAGCATCACTTTAAGAGGCCGAGGGAATTACACCATGTCCTTCAGAATCAGTGTGTGTGTGTGTGTGTGTGTGTGTGACATGCATTGTTTATCGCATTTTGCGTAAAAACCCAAGCAGTTCAAGTCTGGGTCAGGGGGAGTAAATCTTTGAGTGGTGAGACCCTCTACTGACCTTTGTGTGTGTGTGTGTGTGTGTGTGTGTGTGTGTGTGTGTGTGTGTGTGTGTGCGGTGACATGTATGTTGCCGTGGGTCAGTGAGTCTATGTGTATGTTTATGATCATTGACAAGCAGAAGGGGGGAGGTTGTGTGTGTGTGTAGGGAGGGGTGGTGCCGCTAGATTAGCCAGGTTGGGATGATTGGGTTGAGGATTAGATGGAACAGGAACAGACACGTCTGTTTACTCTGCAAAGAAGACTTATAATAGGCTGATTGGCAAGGTTTATTACTCATACACACACACCCCGGCCCACTTACTGCCCACACACATTCATTCAAACCCCCGTATGTTGATTAGCTTGTTACTGTTGCCTTTATAATAGCTGCCATCTCTTGTCCCTTTGCTTGTCTTAAAATTCAGATGTGAAGTCCGAGCGTCTCAGCCTCTCAGACACATTTCCCATTAGTATTGACCCCAAGAGCTTGCAATCAGAGAAGGTGTGTAACTAAATCCCCAGCATAGGTACGTAAACGGAGCTGCACTCAGGCAACTACCCCAAAGGCATGGGGAGCGCTCTGGTTACCCAGCGCTGTGTGTGTGTGTGTGTGTGCATTGTTTCTACTTACCTGTCTTTATGTGTCACAGAAAAAGGTGAAGTGCAGAGCTCAGAATAAAGCGCAGAGGCAGAGAAAGGTAGGATTATATACATGGCAGGTTAGAGAAAGGCACTGAGAGAGAAGGAGAGGATGGGAGGAAAAAGCGACAGGCAGAGGCTTAAGATTACAGAGGCGAGCACTCTTTGTTGCTGAGTTCAGTTGTGATGGACGGCTTGTGTTGAGGGAAAAGGGTGAAAGAGTCCTTCAAGGCGCTACCATAAAATTTGCAGGACAACTGAGGATGTTCTTCTCCACTGATCAAACCTTTGTCTGATGACTGAGGAAGCTGGACTTTGGGGAAGGTGAAGCAGATGGTCAGAGTGTTCGATCCAAAGTGATCCAAAGAAAGGTGGAAAACAAAACCCCAGAGAAGTCTAGTCTAGGGGGGGACCAAGTGATTGAGCCTTCAGGGTGAATAACAAGTCAAGCAAGAGCAGGCGTGAGGCCGGACAAGAGAGAACTGTTCAACTGGAGAGAGACAGAGTCGAAGTGGGGATAAACAGTTGAAAACAAAATTATTCTACGGTACAAGAGAGCCTGACACTGGGCGACTTAAGAGAGATCAAGGTTCCTGCTTCTGACCTGATTAAGCAGAAGAGAGGTAGTCGTGGAGGCGATCGGGGAGACGCGATCAACAGAACACGAGAGCTGGCAAGAGAGGGGGACGAGAGAGGAAGAATTACAACAGGGCGCATGTTGAAAGAAGCCTCTTAAGTCTGGGAGCTGGAATTAGAGCCACAGAAACTGCAGAGGGGGAAGCCACAAAACCACAGTAAGTACATTAGGAGGCTGTGGCTGGAAAAATGTATAATAAAGCTTCAGGCCAGGAAAGGAATTTGTGGTTACGGGAGTGATTTTTACACTGTACCTTAATGAATTGATTTCCTGTCTTTAAAACGTTTACATTTCATCATTCTACATGACATTACCTTACTCCACACCTTTTAAGAAACCCTCAATCTACAGTTTTATGCGTATAGCTCTTGCTCCTGCAATTTCAGGTCTATTTACCCCTCTCCCTCATTTTCTCCACCATTCCAAACTTCTCATCCCGTGTCTGTCACTGTCCTGCTCCACAGGTGAAGATGCCTGCTAATGGGAACCGCCCCTTGAAGTTGCAGTTTGGTCTAATCAACCACGAAGGTCGCTACCTCACTGCTGAGACCTTTGGCTTCAAGGTACAAACATTCCATCCAATATGAAACATACTTTTTGCATAGTTTTTGGTACAAGTACACAATTTTGTGTGAAGGCTGCAGGGATATGAAATTGCTATAATTGCTGACAGCAGATTTCACAGCGATAGCTTTCTTCTTTTCTCAGGTGAATGCATCTGCCCCCAGCCTGAAGAAGAAGCAGATATGGACTCTTGAGCAGGACTCCCAGGACACCCAGGTAGTCTTCTTGCGCAGCCACCTGGGGCGCTACCTGGCCTCCGACAAGGATGGCAAGGTCACCTGTGAGGCGGACGGGCACAACTCAGACTGCCGTTTCCTCATTGTGGCTCAGTCTGATGGTCGCTGGGCCCTGCAGTCTGAGCAGCACCTCCGTTTCTTCGGTGGCTCACGGGACTACCTGTCCTGCTTTGCACAGATAATCACAGATGCTGAGCTGTGGGCAGTGCACCTGGCTCTACATCCGCAGGCCAACCTGCTGTCTGTGGCCCGCAAGCGTTACGCCCACCTCTCCACAGAGGATGGGGAGATTGCTGTGGATATGAACATTCCCTGGGGCGTGGCAGCACTCCTCACCCTCGTCTACCTGGATGGGAAGTACTGCCTAAAGACCTGCGACAGCCGCTTCCTCAGCAATGATGGAAAGCTCTTGACAGAGAGCGGGAGGGCCACTGCGTACACGCTAGAGCTGAAGTGTGGGAAGCTGGCCTTTAAAGACTGTGAGGGGAAGTATTTGTCTCCTATGGGGCCTACGGGCACCCTGAGGTCTGGACGCTGCTCCAAGCCGGGCAAAGATGAACTGTTTGACCTGGAGGAGAGCCACCCACAGGTGGTTCTGATGGCAGCCAATGGGCGATATGTCTCCCTAAGACAAGGTAGGAAAACACAGACACATCAACAACATACAGACCCCATTCAGACCTGGTATTAACATCCATCCTGAGTGATCCAATCACAAGTGGTCAGTGCTAAGTACAGGTCTGAATGTAACTAAATGCATCCAGACATCCGATCACTCAGACCACCATCGGAGGTGGTCTGGGACACGTGGCCGCATTCTTTTCAATGAAGGAATGCAAATGCATCCTTATGGACTTATGGAGGGCCACCTAGTTAGCTGACATCCTTTGACCTCCAAATTTTATATATATTTCTCATACGTTGATTTGTAGTGACTGCTACAATATACAATACCTGTCACCATATAATAACCTATAGATTTTTTTTAATTGGTAAAATCTTTTGTCATTGCTGCGCGCATTCATTCATCCAGCCCCTCCTGACTACTATCTCTCTCTCCTCTCTCGGTCCTGCCGACACACACACACACACACACGGTCATCGGACACATCTGTAAACTCAAACAATATCATATTATCTCCAGGAACACAAAAATTCAAACTCAACTTTCTCCACTTGTGATATCTCTCAGGATGGATGCTAATACCAGGTCTGAACAGGGACAACTTCTCACAAAATGGATAATTTGTTTCCCAAAGCCTTGCATGCATGCACAACCTGCAACTCTTGCAGCTTCCTCGATTCACTTAATCTTTACACAGCATCTCAAAAGTCTGATTGAATGGACAAAGTTTGTCTTCATGTGCTACTGAGAGTGGTCACATGAGCCTTTAGCTGACACACACTGACCTACACACATACATAATGAAGCAGTAAATACTGCAACTACTACAGTTACTACTACTAGCTTATATACAGTACATACTGTGCACTGATACACCCAACTGAGCTCACCATTCACAAGAAGTACATTAACAAGTGGATACGCTGAATATGCATGCTTAAGAGAATAGGCCACTCTCTAATGATTGACAGGTGATAAGGGATGCATGGTAATTATGGGTAATGTATTCTGCACTTCAACCAGCGCTGACATCACACTTGATAGTTGCATCTCTCCAGGAAAACAAGATAGATGAGGTTGATATGAGAGAGTATCAGCCTCATCTGGGAGACCTGAGACGGATTTGTGTGAGAGCTGCAACTGATTTAGGTTTGTCCACTGTCGGGACACAATGGATGGTTTGGTTGAATGTTATTGTGCAACCATGTTCAGAATAACTACAGATTTAGATTTTTTTCACATTTTGCAATGAGTTTTTCATGAACAATGAAGGGATGTAACGATTACTGGTTTCACGGTATACCGTGGTAAACGTCCCTGTGGTTGGTTGTAGTATTTTAATATTTAATTACTGTGGTTATTGTGGTGATTTGGTCAATACTATCCAGCATCAACCAAAGTTAGCAAATCTTCAAGACACAGGCGCAGCAAGCAACATTGATTTGTTTTGTGTCGTAAAAACATGGACCAGTACGCAGGGACAGCAGGAAAGCTGCTAATGCTCTGACCATAACTAACAACTGCTCACATCAGCTGTCACCCAAAACCAACGCTAATATCTTGTCCAGATGTTTGTGGGTGGACTTCTGCATTTGACATAGTGAGTTGTCTTCCTGTCCCCACTGTTCTCCGCTCGGAGAGAAACTTGACTGTTAATGATGTAAAATGCAGTCAAGATGTTCACACTGAGCTGTAATGAAACAAGCAGCTTTCAACATTATCAAGATGTTATGAATTGATTTACAAATTAGCTGGTAAATTACCAAGAATTTTTGAAATCAATATACTCAACTTTGCACATTTGGTTAATTTAAGACTCTTTTGGGGGAAATCTTCACTATACAAAAGCCCTTTTAACAAACTTAAGTTTTCTTCCTTTAATTTTAATGTTGCACTGTTGGCTATATTAGCATTTTTTTTTTTTACCAATAATAAACATATTATTTAAATATAATATTCTGTGAATTCACTTCTGTTTCATCTCTAGAATGTTAAAAATTATACTAAACATAAATGTCTAATCTGCATTTCCTGAAACGTTGGAAACCCAAATCCCAAAATGCAACAAATATATGAGAAAGAAAAAAGAGAGTTTGTGTTTTTTTCTTTCTTGTATCAAATATTCAATCTGTGATCTTTTGTGAAAACACCCTCCTCATTGCCTCTCAGATGTAACGACTATTTTGTGGTAATGTTGTTCACACTTTACGCTCTTGTCCCATGGGCTCACTGAAACAGCTGCTTGTAACCCTTGTGCTGTACAGTAATACACTGTTGATACTGTATTATGTATTTATTTTTTGGGGCCTGTGACGGGGCCTTTGGGGTGTGTTATTTGATCAGCATGCACATAACATACTATACTGACGGATAACACCTGCTCCACACGGGCTTAGCTCTTTTTAAAAAACAAGCCTGAGTTTCTTTGATCAGTTTGAAAAACAGAGGAATTGTAATTAGCAGTGTCACGTTACATCCAACACCAGAAGTAATTGCCACGGTTTCGATTGGTGATGGGGGAGAGGGTCCGCTGGTCTGATTTGAAACTGGATTTGGGTGGATTAGCCGACACCAACAGTGCTTGTCGGGATACTTGGCCACAGCATCCATCCGCAGGCTGCAGATTCTTGTCTGCAGTGTTGAGTTTCCTCAGCCCTGGGTGCTGTAACTGAATCTCTAACCGCTCTTTGTTCCTGGTTAGCAGTGGGAGCTTCAGGAAACCAAACCACTGGGATCACTGTAAACTGATTGGTTGAAGAGAAAGGAGAGATATGGCAGATATCTCTACACCATAATGTAAACGTGTGTATTCACAAGTAACGTGCTCGCTTCCCTTCTTACTTAGCTCTTCCTACACTCACTCTGCACAAACAAAAGCTTTCCCCGACACAACCGCCCACACACAACCGCACCGTCCTGCTGCGGCGAGCGCAAAGTGAGGTTTGTTGAATTATTGATGAAGTTGGCCCCCGTTCCTGGAAGGCAAGGTGGGGGGGAGTCTGCTTTCAGAAACCCAAGCTGCCTCTCACCTGGGGCATAGCTTCTAACCCGCTAATCTAACCCGCTAACCCCAGCCCCGGTCTGTGCTCATGATGTCCTGCTGAAAATCAAGGAAACACACTGTCAAGGAGAGTCAATACTCTGTGTTTAGCAACATATAACAATGCGTAACGATCACACTGAGCTGCAACATTAGATTTGTTTTCGTCATCATGTCTTTTGCAGGGGAGACTTTTCAGATAAAGCAAGGAGAATGACCGAGATCAACTTCTCAGTGAATCTGCACCTTTCTGGAAAAACTGAAGTATATTAAAGACCTGAATTCACCTCAGTGACTCCCTATTGACATGGTCAGAAATGGTTTTCTTACCGGTTTGGAGAAGCTTGTGAAATGCAAAACAGCAGCTGACCTGGTTTATGCTGCTCGTGGTGTGAACACATTGAACAAAAATCTGAGGTGAAAACTTGAATTGTAGTGCTGGACTACACGAGGGCTTAAACAGAGGATCAGAATTGTTCACTAATTGTGTAAATATAAATTTTTAACTTCAGCCTCTGGGTTTGAGTTAGAGAAAGGAAAGCAGAGAAGGGAGGATGCAAGGAAAGAAGGACTTTCAAAGGGCTTTGGGACAAAAGTAGTGGCTGTATGAGGAGACTGGTGAGCTCCTCATCCTCCCTAATGTCACACACAACTCATCACCATGTGTGTGTGTGTGTGTGTGTGTGTGTGTGTGTGCGTGTGTCAGTATTATGTAGACCTGTCATCACGTCTCTCATCACCTCCCTGTGTTCTTAGGGTGTAAGTGGTCCACTCTGCCCTGAAAGTGAGGAAGAGATGATAGTCCAAAGACACATACTTTCCATTACACACACACACACATTTACATACAAACATATTTACACACAAACAGGGAATAGATCGCTGAAAGAAATGAAGAGAATGAATTGAGAAAACAAGAGAGAGTGCAGTAGTGAAGGAGGGGCATTGGGAGGAGCATTAAAATAAGAAAGAGGGGGATAGAAGCATCGGTTTACTGTTAATAATAGATGTCAGAGCCATCTATCGCTGATGGATTAGCTAGGCCTGCTCCACTTGCAGGTAGGACAACAACAGAAAGTGGAGCAGGATCTGGGGTCTGATCCAAAATATGGCACCAGTGAAGCTACAGTATCAGTGTACCTCTGTGCTGCGCTGCATAGTTTATCATTGACCGTGGCCATGATGACAACATCTTATTCCGTATGCATGGCAAACTGGTGTGTCAAAGATGCTCATCAACACAGCTATTAATATCCTCAGATTGCTGGCTTGGATTTCACTGTGTCTAATCTCTTTCTGCTTTTTCATTCTCTTCCTTCATCCCTCTATCCTCCCTCCGTCTCCTCTTCTCTCATCCATCAGAGAGCGGCTGCGGGGTCCCAGCTGAGCCCCGTCTTAGGATCATTTCTATGTTGAATTAGTGTGAAATGGACACATAGAATAGGTAGACAAAGCATGACATTGAGTCGGGATGAGAGAGGACAAGAGTGATGGGCGACCCAGGCTCTGCAGAGAGGAGGGGCAGAAATTTATGCTTCAGATGCATTTAAGATCAATGATGATTTAACCGGTTGTAAGACCCTGTGATACCTATTTTATTGGGTGTGAATAAGATGTGATTAAAGCATCCCACCCAGCTGGGTAACCATGACATCTTTGTCACATGTCCTCTCCTTTCTCCTTCCTCTTGTCTGTATATCTACAATCTACAGTGAATCTGCATCTGTGTTAGATTATGCAGATGTATTTTATATGTATGCATTAGAGTGTATCACGGGTTTAGTTTGAGAAAAATGTGTCTGACTTTGTCGTTTGTTCATTTTTTTAAGCTAAGCCATCGAATCCTGGTTCAAATGAATTCAGCAGAACTTTAAGTGAACGTTGCCATTTAATGTACTTTTAAAATAGAAGTAACTTGTGTATCTAATCACTGAAGTGATAGCATTCCTCTTCATCACATGTAAGTGTGGCTCCTCACATGCTGGATTCAATGTTGATCAAATATCTCTGTTAAAAATGTGTTCACATGCTGAACAGCTCTAGTTAGCATGTTAATAGCATATGGGCTGGAAAACAGCAATTGTGATTACAATTTTGAATCCAAATTTTGAATTCAGTTCAAAGATTTGTTGTGAATTTGTTGTTATGTTTTGTTGTTATGATTTAGCTATTAGAACAGAACAGTTGAAGAAGTTTTTTTGTCCCTCTGATAATTACTGAGGCTTCAGAGTTAAATCATTTATCATTCTTGAATGCAAAAAAAGGGACAATGAAAGTATCACTCTCTACATGACACTAAATTAAGATGTATAAAACAATACAGCCAGTTCATGCAGATACATTATAAATGTGTTCTCTCTGTATTTGATTATTCATGTCGATGGTCGTTGCTTGGGGATTGAGAGGGGCTTGTAATTATCTGTACATCCTGCTAAGTGTGGACCATAAAATCCTCTGGTCTTTTCCTGTTTTTCCTTTATTCTTTTATTGAGGGGATTGAGGGATTGGACGGGTAGCACTCAAAAGCTGATTATATCAGAGCCCCGCAGTGAAGAGGGCAGATAGGCCGGGCCAGAGGTGGGGCAGAGGTGGGAGGTGGTGCTCAGGGATAAGGAGGGGGGGAGGTAAGAGAGAGCATAGAAAGGGATGACCAGAGAAGAGAGGAGGGAGGGGTGAGGGGCACTCAGATCAGTGTTGTTATAGGATTAAGAAAATGTCATAGGGATAAATGGGAGGAATCTAATTTGGGATTATTTATCCCTCTGCAATCTGTTTGTTAGTGATGAGCCGAGCAGCAGCAACACGTTGAGATTGAAGAAAACATTCTAATGGACTGTTTAAATGCCAACAATTCTTACATGTGTTACAAAAATGCATGTATTTGTGTTTCTCGCATGTTTCACACCAGTTCTGTTTCACGTGTTTGCAATGAGGCAGCTAAAATAATTGGTTTCTAAGTGTTGTATAAAATGTCTGTCAGCAGGGTGATTAGTGGTCTCGTTGTAAGTTACACAAAGCTTCACGAAGAGACAGTCATCTCTGTGTAGCTGGTACAGAATAAACATTTTGTGTATTTATCGTATTTATATTTGTATCGTATTGTATAACCTGTCCATAAATCTATCCGTAATCATTCAGTAAAAATGTTTTCCGCCTCAGGAAGGTTTAGTGCAGTGTTTGTTTGGCAAATCAGACCAAGGGCACAGTTTAAGACAAAACTACACTTTCATGCTGCGCCAAGTTAAACAGAATAATTAGACCTGATTAGCAGGTGGGTGGCTGTCCTTGGGTTTTTGCTTTGCCTTTGGGAATCCAGGCCTGTGAATGTGTTGAACATGCATGAATACAGTATGAAGGTGCAGTTGGTAATATTAAACTTACTTCTTGTATGAATCAGTCCCTGAATCCTCATCAGCTTCTTACAGTGAATAACAGGGTCATCCATGAACTCAAGGTTTGATTTTTTTTTGTGTATTCAATTTAAAAACCTGGAATTTAGAAAGTTTTCAGGGTTTTAAGTTACATATAAGCTGCTGTCATGTTTGAAAGGCAACCTCCAGAGAAAGTCTGGACCCAATTCTCTAGACATCTTCCAGGGTCATGTCTGAAAATGGTTGTATTTTATCCAGGACACAACCAGATGTCATTTGTCAGTGCACATTTTGATCATACCTTAATTTCATTGTTCTATACCACTTCAACTGTCATGTATCTGTGTATACAACTTAAATGTTGCACTACTATAACTCATACTCAAAACACAAGAAGTGCCATTGACAGACCTCTGAAAAGAAAAGCAATGAAAAACTGTGAGCAGCGACTAATGGATTCCTCCAAACACTAACTAGTCCTCAAGTTTTCATTCTTTAAGTATTAATGACCGGACGTGCTCACTGTGCCCCTCCAGGAGTCAGCCTCGCAGCCAATCAGGAAGATGAGACGGACATGGAGACCTTTCAGATGGAGATTGACAAGGAGACAAGGAAGTGCACGTTTCGCTCCAGCCAAGGGAACTACTGGGCCCTGGTGGCTCATGGAGGCATCCAGAGTACTGCCACTGAAGTGTGAGTGAACATTAGCTGTGCACAGTGAAAATAAATACACCGTCTATTGTGATGTGAGAGATTAGGAACTGCTCCATTACACTGTGTCCTTGATCACAAATGTTAGAAGAGTCCACATTCAAATTCACTAGATCCAGACTTTTATTTGGATCTGCACCAAATTGCATAAATATTATTTCCCTGAACATGTTTGATTTTTTTCATTCATCAAGATCCATGACTTATTCTCTGAGAAATCAACAAAAAAATGTATTTTTGAATCTCACAATGTTAAAGAAAGTGACAAAAATCCTGTGTCTGCCACCTGATCCTGATCCACACCAACATTTATTATGTAATGACAGTGTCTCCACGTGCGCTTCAAGTCAAGTAGTCTCATCTTTTCTCTTGTGATGCACAACTGCAGGTCAGCAAACACCATGTTTGCAGTGGAGTGGCTTGACCACAAGGTGGCACTAAAAGCTAACAATGGAAAATACATCTGCACCAAGAAGAATGGCCAACTCCTTGCTGTCAGTGACTCCATAGGTAGGAGTCTTTTTGGTTTGACCTCTCCTTTCCTCTCAGCCCATCTCTCCACTCACGCGTCTCCACAGTTACACCTCTTCTTTTGAATTGTTCCCATGCTCCCTCTGATGTGTTTTCATTGGTTTGCTGTCGCCTGTTGTCAGGTGAGGACGAGCAGCTCACTCTGAAACTGATCAACCGACCCATGTTGATCCTGAGAGGAGAGAACGGCTTCATCTGCCAACACAAGAACTCCAATGCTCTGGACGCCAGCAGATCAGTCTATGACATTTTCAACCTGCAGTTCAGTAACGGGGGGTACCACATTAAAGGTCAGGACACAACCACTCAGAGAGGCTTCTGGGAACCGGTGATTGAGTTTCAAATCAGCAGCATCAGACATATGCTCTGACTCTGACTATGTGTTTTAACCCCTGCAGGTGTGGACGGCCGGTTCTGGTATGTGAACAGCGCCGGGCTGGTGTGTTCAGATGGCGAGGCCCCAGAAGATTTCACTCTGGAGCTCCTTGAGCACGGGCGCCTAGCCATACGAGGCAAGAATGGCAAATACCTGCGTGGGGACCAGGGAGGCACGCTGAGGGGAGACGCACTCAGTCTGAGCAGCTCAGCGCTGTGGGAGTATTAACACGATCCAACACTGGCTCAAACCTGAGGCCCAACTCTGACGCTTGAGGTGATTTGCCATCGATCACCACTTAAGCATCTGTACCTAAGTTAAATTTAGTGGTGTTTCATTCCTTGCTTTTCCTTGTTCCTGTTTAAAAGAGGCCGCAGCAGAAAGAAGAGGAGGAACTGAGCCGGGGGACGTCTTGATGAAGGGATCCATGTTTTGAGAAAGCGCTCGATCTCAAAACAAAAAATGCTGTGACTGAACATTTGAGTCTTTGTGTCATTCCCTTACCCAGTGAACATTTGCAGCAAGATTAAAGAGATTATCTAAACGTCTGAAACTAAAGAGTTAAAGACGTAAAGCGTATAAGCATCAGTGTGACATACGACCGTCCTCTAGTCTAGTCTACCAGGTATATCAGTAGTAATATGATCATTTCATGCAACTGCAAGTAGGTGGATTTTATTTTTTTATTAGTCCCTCTGTTATGTTCTACATTTCCTCTGTCTATTATGAACATGGAGATTGAGAAATAAACTTGTATGGCTGAGTATGTTACCTTACACACACAACCCCCTTTGCAGCAGCAGGATCTAATAAAGAACATTTCATTTATTACTCTACATAAATACATCTTTTGTGTATCTTTACTTTACTTAAGTGGATTTATTTTCAGGTACTTTTACTCCACTACATATATCATCACATATCTTTCCATTACAGTACATTGTTTCAATGCATTGCATCACATGTTCAAATGTTTAACAAAATGTTTTTATCAATAAGGAGAGGGGAACTGGTCAATTGATCAAATCAGAGCAAGCAGATTACATTAGACCCCGCCTCCTGTAATGGATTCTGAAGAGGCCTCTGAGACTCATGATATAACAAACATTAGGGAGTAGGCTACATTCTGCAAGTCTGTGTGCTTTTGAATAGTACACTGATTCCTTCAACTGGGAGGAGGAAAAATCTTTGAGATAAAATCCTCTTCTTCCAGGGTTCCATGGTTGTTTCAGCTTAGCGGAAAATCTATGACAATCACACCCACCATGATGATGATGTTGCACCAAACTGAAACACGTGCACTTGGGGAACTCTGTGGAAACTTCATCATACATCTGGTTGAGCTGCACTTTTAACTCCTGCAAGTTTATTTTAACTACTTCCATTCTGATTGAAGTTTAGTTTTAGATGACCTAGGCAACACTCTTCACTTGATGCTTCTTCTCATCTTTACAAATGATTGTTGTGACCTCAGCATTCCAGCGGGGATTTATTCTAATTTAAGCTTAGAACAAATCTAATTTCATCAAAGTCATGAGCCCTATGCTCACATCTTCTGTTTGGTCTTAAAGAAAGGAAAAACAGTCAATGAACAGGCTCCAGTGGCGCAATCGGTCAGCGCGTGGTACTTATAAGACAGTGACCTGCAGAGTGATGCCGAGGTTGTGAGTTCGACCCTCACCTGGAGCAGTTTTACATGGTTGAGGGAAAAGACTGTGATAACTACTACTCTCACTCAATTCATGAGACATTATAAACCTGAATGGTCAAACAACAGTTTCTGCTTCCATGAAGCATCTTATTTGATAAAAGCATAAATTATCTAAAAACATTTTGTCATCATTTAACACTAATTACTAAGTAATCTAATCAGTATGGAATATTGAAATCACTCTTTATGGCTGAATAAAGATAACTAATGGGATCCAGTTTTGCCATTGGTCTGCACTTGATATTTATAAAAACGGTGATGCTGAGGTTGTGCAAACAGCAAAGACTCCTGCACATAGGCTGAAGTCTAATGGAAGACATTTTGATTTCCTCGTTACTGAGAAGGAAAAACTCTGCAACACTTATGGGAGGTGTATTGGTTTGGAGTGCAAACCAGTACAATACAGTACATTAGCTGCAAAGCCTGATGGGACTGTGTTGTTAATCAGTAGCTCGTACAATGGGAGAGCAAAATTTTCTTTCATTAGACTTTAACACCTTGAGCAGGATGTAATATAATCTCTTGAGCTCCAGTAATAGTTCAGTGTGTACTTAATAGACAGTAAAATGCAGCAGGTAATGTAACAACACATATCACCTATGAATCTATAATAAACCAATAGTCTATAATAACCCATAGAAACTGATCACAGGTCAAATATGGACATGCAGGAATTTAGTCAGATTTACTGTTTCAGCAAAGCACTGCCCACTCACTCATCATTTGTTCAGTTCAGTTTCACTCTCTATGAAGTCACATCACTGCCCCTTACTGGATGACATGTGACTTGCGTTCACCGTCACGTTTTAGATGAGTGGTTCTCATTTAGTTGAGCCAAAGGACTCACATTTTTTAAACTAGTTCAAATGTATTCAACAAGAAATTGTGCAGTAATACACAATGCTTTCTGTAGCTTTTCAGTAGCGTGTAACTTAAACCCTTGAAACTTGTGGTTTGGATGCTTCATGCTTTCATGTGTCAGCACTTTGTTGCATGTGACACACAGAGGTTTTTGTCCTTGTTTGTCATCAATATTATTTAAAAAAACACATCTACTGCAGTCGCTGCAGTATTTTTGGTTTGTTTGTTTTAGATCACTCTCTCTGGTCTGGTTTGCAATTTCTCTGTCATCTAATTTGAATCAAATGTATTTGTGTTGAAAACTGTTTGAAACTCCTGACACTTTGTTTCTGCAGCTGCTTGAATTACTGACAATTATTCTGCCGGCAAATCCTACAGTTATACCAAGACCGTTACATGTCAGTTAATTTGTTATAATATAAGTTGTCATATTAGTTTGGAGTATGCACTGCACTGCTTACTTTCTTATTTATTGATCATAAACTCATCAATCGTCTGCCGATGTAACCCCTTGCCTACAGGGGTGCGTTCAATAACAACCACTGTGCCAGACATAAGGTCCCTTGTCACACACCTACACGTCTGGCACATGAGCGACTGGAAACCTGAGGTCCCTCACTCAGCTGTACGACATATGATCGCATGTAATTGGATGTTATTTTACTCCACCTGAGCTCCTCAAGTCGTTTTGTGCTGAATGCTTTGGATTTAATATAAAATTGAGCACAGAGTAAACAATGCATTGTAACGTGGGTAATGTGAGTTTTAAAGCTGCAGCACCTGCACCACAGCAAAATAATAATGAAAAATAATGAGTTGCATGAAGATAAAGATGAATTTCAGCCATTTCAGTCACACAAAGGTATATTTACTGTAGCAATTAATACGGACATTATTTCTCAAACTGTTACAAAGACAGATTACAAAATACCAAACAGTTGAAGGAGGCTGTGTAGTTAAAACAAACATGTTATATAATAATGAGAGGGTTTTCTCTGAGTTCTTGGTAAATGGCGAGAAGAGATCGGGTCATCCTCCCCGTGGACGTGCCGTCGCCAAACACCCCTGAGATTCGACTTTGCTGGATCTGCGGTAACAGGCGCTGAGAGGAAGAGGAGGGGGAAAAGAAGAAAAGATCACCAAGATAAGTTAGATTTAAGTACAACAATAATCACAGACAAAATTCTGGTGCATCAATGTGCTCTTATAGAAGTTAAATGTTATATTATTGTTGTTATATATGTAACTGCTTTTTAATAAAAGACAGATTGTAAGGTATTGAGAATAAACCGTTAGTTGCAGCCCATGGTGAGCAAAATGAGGAACATGTAGGTGGTACCTCAGCCCGCTGAAGTGCCTGTCTCAAACCTGAGCTCTGGACCCTCTTTGTGGAAGCAGCACTCTCAGGAGCTCTCTGCAGCATTGCCTGTGTTGAGGACCAAAGAAACAAAGGGAAGAGATTTCAAATAAGACTCTGCAAGGAAGGATATAAGACAGGATTCTCAAGTCTGATGAGAGACTAGTTAATGTTACAGCTACAATCGTTAAAAAATTGACCGAACCACAGAGAGCTTTCAAACAGCCAAATAAAATTTAGTTTGCAACAAAAGGTGGAGGAATAAAACAAGCTCTCCTGCATAAACAGGTAACCCAGACTTCATTATGAAAATACTGTTTCTTCTGTAGAGAACACAAAGCTGCAGGGGTTCGTCTCTCAATCCACAGCTTGAACCAAACTCTGCGATTTTTATTTCCCTTCTTTCAGTTCAGATCACAGCAGAGCATCAACTGCTGCAAGCTGTGTGGTCCACCTTTGTTATGGAATCAAGATTTTCCAGAAAACTGTGGTGCAGTGGGTAACATTAATGCCTCACAGCAAGAGGGCTCTTGGTTTGAATCCCAGTTTGATCGGGGTCTCTCTCTCTCTGTGTGTGTGTGTGTGTGTACCTGTATCCGGTGCAACACAGCATGGTGCAGTCCACAAACTGCTGCAACGGATGAGCTGTCTATTTGAACTTCTATCGTGCTCAGGGACTCCTCCTTCCCTAGACTCTCCTCCCCTGTGTTCACCTGCAAAACAAAGGAGCTCCCATGCAACACTCGTCGAGACACGGGGTAAACCTTTATCAATGTAGCATCAGATATATTTTACCTCTTTAGCACTCAGTTTGACCATGTCTCCATTTGGACCCCGAGCATGGACAACAGAGCTGCTCAGTGACAACTTGTCTACTTGTTGTCCCGTCCTCCCTCCTCCTGGACCTTCAGACAACAGCCAGTCCAGAAGAGCAATGCAAAGACTTTGAGGATCTGAAATGTCCACCAGGATGTCCCCAATAAGCTCTGACGACACACGAATCCTCGCTGAGTACCTCTCTCGCTCAGCCTTCGCAGCACTCTCTCCTCCTCCTCCACCTCCTCCAATTAACCGAGTCCGGTGTGAGCTTAGAAAAGCTTGGACGGTATCTGTTGTGATGTTGCTGGATTGAGTTGTGGGGTTTTTGTAGATGGGATTGGTCGTGGGACGGCTCACCTGCAGAGCGTGCAGCCAATCTACCGTCAGTGTGTCCAAGGGCAAACTGATACAACTGCTCTGCAAGTCAGGGAGTTGCGCCGTCTCCTCCTCTGCCAGGAGACTCGAGAGAGAGAAGATGAGCGAGCAGGTTACCCTCATAGGGAAGCATGTGTCGCCTGAAGCTGCGAGGGGTAGCGACACTTCTAATGTTTCCCCTGGATGGAGATCATGGAATGGGAAAGAAAAATTTGTGGAGGAGCTTTCCTCCCCTGCGCAGGGTGAGTAGGACACAGGAGACACAGTGACGCTCAGTGTCCAGCCCTGCTCCAAAACATAAGGACTTGAATTATCCAGGACACATGTCAGGTTCAGGGAGTCTTTCTGTAGCAACCTGCTCCATCTGGTAATTGCTCGGCATCTAATTGGCCTCTCCCGCATGTGTGGATGTTCGTCACTATTTGTCCTGGCTGTCAGCAGGAAGCTGACATTGAGCACCTGATTCAGGTGCCGCAGAATTTGGTTTTTGGATTTGATGGCAGTTTTCAGCGCTGAAACTCTTAAGGAAAGCAAGAGACACCACATATATGTCAAGAGAAACCTATGACACATCTGAGGAGTGATTAATTTCATAGTTATATCATATAAATTGAGTCATGTTACATGTACCTTTCACATACACCCCCGATTGCAGACAGGAGATCCCTGACGCTCCGGCCCCCGTGAGAGGACGGGAGACTGGACACCCCTACGTCCTCTCGCCTCTCAGGTAAGACAATCCTCTGGAGCTGCCCTCTGACAGACAGGCCCAGCAGCTGAACTCCACCTGGTGTGAGACACATATCCAAAGTTAGTCACAGGTCAAACAAAGAGGACTCATTTTGCGTGGATGGAAACACAGACAACAATGGGCTGAAGGATTTGTGCATTTGTGAAAATCAACTCTTCTATGCTCAGCCCTTCTCACCTGCAGTGTTGCGTGCAGGTGCAGCAAAGGTCATGACTCCACCCACATTCAAACTGGTGGGGCTTTGGAGGGCGGCAGCTGTCCGACTGGATGTCTCCTCATCCCTTTCCTGTCCTTCTCGCCCAGATGATCCCTCTGACAGATCCAGCACCAACAGATCGGAACCAGTGCTGTAGTAAAGATGGTGTTCATCCACAGATCCACACATCACAGGCCCTGGTACACACCCTTCAATAAACCTAGCTGTGCTCCCTGCTCCCTCTGATCCTCCCTTAATAGCCTTCATCAGCACCACTCTCCCTTGTTCACCCACTGCCACCAAACATTGTGCGTGTCCTGGATCCGTTTCCTTGACAACAGATGCTCCGACAAACACGACTGGCTGCTCGAGGCTATGCAGGACTCGGAGCCGTGATCCTGGGAGACGCAGAGGGAGGAAACACAGGCGTCCATCTGGAAGGCCGAAAAGAATAACCGGTGATTTGGCGAGGGCGGCATCAATCCCAAAGAGAAGTTTGAAAAGGAGCGCTTCTAGGTGGAAGTGACTGTCTGATAAAGTCGACGATGGGTCGCCAGAGTGGGCACAAGACAACACAGGCCTCCTTCTCATTCCTGCTCCCTCAGTGTCACTGTGTGCAACAGCTGAGACCAGCGGCAGACTGAAAGAACTGAGCACCTCGTAGCTGCTGGACTGTGCTTGTGTTGGTGTTTTGTACAGACTGAGCAGCCAGGACGTTTCTCTCTGAGAGAGGATCAGGAGCACAGAGCCGACGAGGAGCAGCGACGACACACCTTCCTCTGCAACAACCAGGGATTCAGAGGAGATCTTCAGCTCAGCTGGACGAGAGGAGGCATCGCCCGGGGAGGTTTGAGCCCTGCAGAGGACAAAGGTCACATTGCGTGCAAGGGGTTTTACTTAATGACTGTGAATGCAGTAAACTTAGAGAGGTACATACCTGGACAGCAGAAATGAAGGGCTGACACAGTAAACTCCTCTGCTGCAGGACACATAGAGGAGCTGTTTGTCATGACTCTCAGACAGGTCACTCACAGGAGCAGGGAACTGGAGGACAGCCTGCGACAAAACCACAGCATGTCATGGTGAGTAGTAGTGATTGGAAATACAGTGCAACATTGATTTTGAAAGTTGTAAAAGATGAAGTGATAAAGTGTGCAGGTATCAAACACAACCACAGGTTTAACTCACCGTGAGTTTTCCCTCTTCAGTATTGAAGACGTAGACTTCGTCGCTGCCTGTGCAGATGAAAACATCTGTCCCCAAACCGAACGTGAGCCTCGGTGAGAAAGATGCGTCTGAGCAGCCGAACTGTGTCCATGTGTCAACAGCACAGCGTCCGTCCATAACCACCGAGGAAGAGGAGGAAGAGGAAGAGCAGCGTGCAGTGCTGTGTAGTCAGTGTGTCCCTGTGAGGAGGATAAAACTAAAAGCTGGACTCATTCGATCCTGATCCACTTGTTGACAGAGGAAGTTCCCACCAAGTTCCGCGCGTCACGTTTTGGACCAATAACAGCAAAGGACTACATTACCCATGAGGACGGGCGGCGGATGTTGGCTCGGTGCGTAAAATTCTTGCTCAGAGGAATATGATTGAGAAAATACTCTGTCGTCTGTAAAGCACCATGTAATAACCATGTAGTTGTAGTTTGTTTGTATTTTGTACGGTGGCCGAGAGAGCTCAACACACTGCAAATGAAGAAAACACACGTGGAAATTAAGAACAAAAAATACATTCGACGACACGTTGTGACTTTTTGCAACGTGAAATTGATGAAGTTGTTTTTCTTAATTTGTAAATGTTTTCTATTCGCATGTGTTTTCATCGTTTGCAGTGCGCGCCTGATGGAGTACACTAGGTGGCGTGCTTTCACTTCTTCCGGGTTGTCCACCCACCCACGAAGAAGAGTCGTGAGTCGATCGCGGCTCTTCGGCCAATCAGAGCAGCCGGAGCGAACACTGTGCGAAATTTGAAAAACGGCGACTGTCGGTGGTTCGAACCCGAGTCAATATATATACACTAATAAAACAACATGGACGCGCTCACTGAAGAGGAGACCAAGATGTATTTCTACGAGAACAGACTGAAAAGTTTCGCGGGCTGGCCCTTCGACGAGGACTGTATGTGCACCCCGGAGAACGTGAGTGACGCTAACGAGCGGCTAACGACGCTAGCTAACACAACAACAGCAGCTCTGAGGCCAGAAAAACACAGTTTCTCATGAAATGTAGCTGCTGCAACTGCAGGGCTGCCACCAGAAGATGCTAACTTTACGTGTTTTTCATACACCCACACACTAGTCAGTAAAAGTTAGATGGAGGCTAACCTAGCTTAAAGTCACGAAGGGTTTAGTTGTGTCTTTAAAGTGTTGTTAGTCGTATAGCAGTGTTCGATGTAGTGTGAGGTCAGCTAAGAAAGAAAGTGCTGTGGCCACACATTATGTAGAACACAGAGATATCGAGGAAAAGCTAAACATATATCTGGTAATATGTGAGGTTTCATGTTTGTATTGCTGCCAAAACAAAGCTACATGAAGTAAATATACAAAGTTAGGGTGAAAACACTGGGAAATAGGGTAGTGGGTGATGGCACACAGTTCTATCACACTCCTGCCCTACATATGTTTAACAGTTTTTTAAGTACTTGTTCAACCAGTGAAGTGTTAATCTTGTCTAAGAGTCACATCCTGATAGACTGTGTTACTTTTATTTTCCACATCGTTAACTTTTCCAGGGCCTGATGTGCTTTCTTAATTTAGTTTGTTTTGTCTGACCAACAATCCTTAAACCCACCTAACTGTTGTTTTCCTCAGTCTTTAACCTGATATCAACCAAGGTCTACAAACTGTCATAACATATCATCACAAGTATCTAGAACTGAATCTAAAATCTCCTCTTGACACGCAAATATTCAACTTAACAGGATATAAAACAGGGAAATGTAGTCACTATGCATGTGTGAAAATTTGGAACTAGAAGTAATTTAGTTTTGTTTGGGAAATTACCGAAACTGGTTCGTTTTCTGTGGTTAGATTCATAGAACAATCAAGTTGATGATTTATTTTCTGTCTTTCAATCAATCAGTTACAAAATGACAGTTTTTAAAAATTGATCACTTGTTTTTTTCTAGATGGCCAAAGCTGGTTTCATTCACACCCCCTCAGACAACAGCCCAGACATCGCCATGTGTTTCTTCTGCCTCAAAGAGCTGGAGGGCTGGGAGCCAGAGGATGATCCAGAGTAAGATAATAACCACATTACCAGGCTCACGGGTCACCAAAGCAAATAACACCACAGATTTCCTACCAATTTAAGTTGATTTCTATCGAACAGGTTAAAAACACATTTACATTAACACAATCTGAGGCAGCAGAAAGTCATCTCTGTCTCATTTTTCCCTCTTTGGCTGGCAGACTAAACTCTTCCTGTGTGGGCTAATGATATTATATATAATATAGTAAATCACATATCCCCTAAACTTAGTTAACTTGAGTTCACTGTTCCAGTGAAATGTTCCACATGTTGTCATGATTCACACACATTTCTGTGTTACATAAATCTCTTTGTGGTTGATATAACAACATTAACCATCTGAATTATTTGTGGCTCTGTAAATAGTTTGGAATTCATGGTAATTGAAACAACACAGTTTGAATTATTGTAAAATTGTCACTTTTGTTTAGCTTGACAAAATAGTGTGTACTATTATAGTCTTTTCTCTATGGTGAGCAAATTCTTTGGATTACATTAGGACCACAGTGGGCATCTCCAACTTTACTGAAACATTCTGTGCTTATTGTTTTTGTTTCCAGAAAGGAGCACAAGTCCCATTCACCCTCCTGCCACTTCATTGCCCTGAAGAAGAAAGTAGAAGAGCTGAGTGTGGAGGAATTCTTCAAACTACAGAAGGAGAGGCACAAATTCATCATTGTATGTTCTTCAAAGGGCTCTGCCACTTTTAAATTACTCACTTACATTACACATCAACTGTTTAAGTCACATAGCTAACATATTTTCCTACTCTGTTCTTTTATCCCTGTTCAGAGGACATGTCAAGTCCATTTATCGCACAGCTAGACCAACTAACTGTAAAACAAGGCCTTGTCATGTCCTCCGCCATGGTTATATTTTCGCCCCTGTCCGTTTGTTTGTTGGTGGTTTTGTTTGTTTGAAAGCAAGAATGCACACAAACGACCAATTTCCACAAAACACGGTGGAAGGATGTGATATGGGTCAGAGAAGAATCTCTTTAGTTTTGGAGACGTGGGTCAGATCCAGTATTTTCAATGTCATTTTAGTCATTTCTGACTCTTTTTTTTTCCTCCAATCAAAGAACAAATCCTGCAACGAGGCCATCACCAAGTTTGAAGAGGCGGCCAAACTGAGAAGAACAGATATTATCAACACGGCCATGGGAGAAGAGTGATGGACAGACAGGCTGCTGATGAGTGTGTGTGGTGACTGGTTCCTCACTGAACTCCTTTCCATGTTTCCTTCCTGTGTTTTCACGTTGTCTGTGATATATCTGTCTCTTTTACTGTCTGTTATTCATTAAACTTCTTTTAATTTACAGACGTGTCACATTGTGTGTCTGAATGGTGTAAGAGTAAGATCAATTTAAAGAAAATTATCAGTTTGCCAAGCAATTGTCTGCGTTTCCAAATTTTCCTACAGTCAGAAAGCAATTGGGAAGACTTATGTTAAATCTATATTTGCATCTATATATTCTTGGTGTCGAGTGTTCCTAATGATGTTGTATCCTAAATTTCCCTCGGGATCAATAGAGTATTTATCTATCCTATCTACTCAAAGTGCCTCAAACTAGGGCTGGGTAGTAATGGCTTAAAACTATATCAGAAATTTCAGTCCATGGATAATTATCATGATAAATATCACATTATTATTTCTTTAATGACGGATTTCTGCTCTTGGGCGAAATATTCCTATTTTATTTCATACAGTAAGACTCACAATGAGAGGTCCATGTAACGACTGAAACAAATCAGACAGGTGGGAGGAGCTGGCTCCTGTACAACCTGACTTTGTCACTTTATCGCTGTCTCCCACCATTTGCTGCGTAAACGTGCGGGTGTCCCTCATAGATTCAAGTCCCTCCCATGCAGACAGTCCTTCCACTCAGCCAAGAATGAGTAGATCTCCATCCGTCCGTCCACTCTGTCCATCCCAACCTCTGTCTGGAGAGGAACGCGTTCGGATAACCGCAGCGGTGGTTCTGGCACAGGCGCAGCGCGCTACTCCACATCCCGCGATGGGCGCGTAACGACCGTATCAAGACGCAGCTGCATTTGAAGCCTTCGCCGTTACGCGCCCGGTCAGGATGAGGGTAACCTTTGGCTCTCTGGTTGTCGTAGCAGGCATCTGTGGTCTCCTCAGCTACGCTTTTCTGGCCACTTCCCTCGGAACAGAGTACTGGTACATTATAGGGATGAACCCCATGAACATGAGCCACCTGGAGGACGTGAGCTTCCACTATGGACTGTGGACTACAAACGAAGGTTGGGCTCTGATTTTACATAACTTTATTTCAAATAACCCAGTCATTGATGGAGTGAAATTGCAACATCACTTATTTTTACTGTAACATCCAGGTGGGAAGGTGGAGGCAGACTCCAACGACTCTTTCAAAGCTGACTACTCTGACAGTGAGCTGCTCATGCTGAGTAAGTTTCTCCTCCAGCTTTGATTCAGCTTTATTTGTGTTGTTGTTCAATGTTATAGTCAGCAAACTGCCTGTGCATGTGCCTTGACAATTGTGTAGCTGCCATATTAAAGTTCAGACAGGTTGCTCTCATGAAATTAATAATAAACTACACTTACATTTTTTAAAATATCAATATAGCAGTACTAGTTTTTAGTAATAGTAACACTCTGTGTGTGTGTGTGTGTGTAGATATGCACAGTGCCATAGTGGTGGTGCTCACCCTCAGCCTGGTCCTCCTGCTGTTTGGAGGTATCTGCGCGCTGGTCAGCTCCCTGGCTCGGAGTCCTGTGCTCCTCACCAGCTCGGCCTCCTACTTCTTCTTCTGCAGTAAGTCCACATTTTATTCCTTCACTCAGTGGAGTGATTGCTGACACTCCATCCATCCTCAGCCGAAGCGGAAGACAAACATTACAAACGTCCCAGCTGTTTCAGCTGCAGTGTGTGGACTTGTAGGCGACGTCAGTAATGTTATGAGGTTGTTAATTTGTATGAGAAAACATTGAAGAGGTTATTTGGTGATAAATACTTAACAGCCTCAAAACCAATCCATTCAAGCGAAAAATACAATACCCAGTGGCCCTAAGATCAACTAGTAGCCTACAACTTGTGTACCTATATACTACTGGCAATACTTAAAGGTTCAGTGTGTAGAATGTTGTGACATCTAGTGGTGGAGTTGCATGTTGCAGCTGAATACCCCTCACCTCACTCTCCCCTTCCAAACATGACAGAGAACCTGTGGTAGACTTCAGTTGTCATAAAAACTCAAAAGGTGTTTAGTTTGTCCTGTTTGGACTAACGTTAAAAAACATGGCAGCCTCCATAGTGGAGAAAAATTCCAATGGAAAACATAAAATGATGTCCAGTGCCGTAAATTGTCTGTTTTGTGTAATATTAGACAAAAATGTCTCCAATTTAAAAAAAAAAAATATTTTTTTGAATATTTAGTTACAATTTATGCAGAATCGCTGCTATTTTGCAACAGAAGTCTTTAAAGCAATAACAAGATATTTTCTTCCACCAAGGAGATTATGTTTGCATAAAGATCAGAATTTAAATGTGGTGTCATAAGCATGGGCCGAGTGACATTCTAGTTGTATATTGTATATTAAACGATTAAATCAAAGTTGACTAACCCTAATAAATGGGCGAAAAACCTTTAATAATTGTATCTTCAGCTTGTTTCTGCTGACAAATTAGATGCAAAGTTTAAAATCTGATTGTCTTTTTGGCTGCAGTTGTAAAAGTTGTTCATTCTTGACGAACATCGATGTTTTCCTCTCACCGCCTCACATAGAAATAATGAAACTTCTCACTATGTTTCATTACTGAAATGGACGAGTTCACGTCCCAGCACTTGTCACGCTGAGGCGTTTACCTCGAGGTGACCTAGGGGCCGCAGCTGAGCAAACCAGCATCCATTAAGACACCGCAAACTCAACAGAGCTGACGGAGAATGATGCACTAACAGGATGAAGACAGCAATGCAGATATTGCTACTGTCCTGTAATATACAACCTGATTATCTGATCCAAGTTAACTGTCATAATCAGAACAAGCAGAGCCGTCATTAACAGACGGATCAGTCGTCGGCCCAATTCAATTCAGATTAAACTCACTAGTGAGGGTTTTTCTCTTCTGGTGTGTGTTCTCCATCATGAATCTACTACCACACATCCAACCTGATAATGATTTGACCATCCAACAAATCATGTCGATGTGGGTCATTGGGGAGCATCACATTGCTGCTAACCTTGTCTGCACTATTATGTTAACTGGGTATTTACAGTAATCAAGTTATTGGTCCATGCATTAACGCGATGAGCTCTTCCCCCTGGATCTCCACCTTATGACCTTCATAAAGACGAGCTTTGTGACACATGAACACTTACCTAAAAAGACCCTTTATACTGTCTCCTTAATAAGCAGCACATGGTAAAGTATCGAATCTAATGATTGCCTGAATTAGATTGGAGTCATCTTGTGAACTTGTTGACCACCCAACTTTTAAGCTGTCCGGGACAGTCACTGCTTTCTTTTTGCTGCCCTAAAATTCTGTTTCTATTTGTGTATTATGTGAATAAACTTCACTGGAAATGTCACTTTATAAATTATACCTCCTCCAAATCAGATTTCAAGTCAGTAGATCCAGATTTTTATTTGCATCTGCAAAATTCCTGAATCCGGTCATGCACCAAAATTAAATGCCTTTTTCCCCCAACCCATACAGTAACCCATCCAGTAGATTTTTTGCATGATCTTGTGGAGGCTATCAAAAAAACATAACATATTAATATTAAAAATATTAATATTAAATAATCACTTTAATTCATATAAGCTAAATGGGGGCACCACTGTTCAAAGGAAGGGAAAAGATAGCCAATTTATTGATTAGGTCTCATGAAATTACTAACTACAGATTTGGAACGCAAAAATGACCACATCAAAGGTCAGCACAGTTGAAGGATATGGAGTTCTTGACAGTGTAGAGGTTGGCAAAAATCCCACTTATGCAACAGTAGTCAAAACCTTGTTGAAAGTAATTATGTGTTAACACCCACATCGAACCTTATTACAACACTTATATTCAAAACAACTTTATTTGGAGATCAATTCAAAGGCACATAGAGCATGTCAAAAACACAAGTAAATAAGAGAAATAATAAGAAACAATATGTTTAATTGTGAAAGAAACAGACCTCCACATTTGTATGAGTCTTCACGCACACGCACGCGCACACACACACACACACACACACACACACACACACACACACACACACACACACACATCCCATCACAGTGACAACATGAATGTTCTGTTCATTTCTTTCTTCTGTATTCGTCCTAATGCTCCGACCGTTATGCAGCCCAGTGTGAATTAGCCTGA